CTCTCTCATTTTATATTATTTTATAATAAAAAATTGATATTATTACAATAATCAATAATAAAAAATTTGAACATTTTTAAATAAAAATTTCTAAATTTATTTTAGTATATTTTTACTTCTTTTTATTTATGAAGGTTAGGATTAATGGTTGTGAAGTTTTTGAATTAAAATGTAATTTTTTTATTATTACCAAGTGGATGCAATTTTCATTTTTTTGTTTTATGATTTTCATTTTCTAAGAAAAATATTTTGTTATAAAACAGAAAATAGAAAACTATTTTATGTAAGTAAACAAACCCTAAGGGTGTGTTTACTTGTAGAAAACGGAAATAATTTTCTAAAAAAAGTTTTTAAGAAGATTGAAAAATAGAGTTTTGCATCCAAATCAGTTGGTTGTCTATTTGGAAAACTCGAAAATAGTTTTTCAGTTTTTCAAAATTTAACCAAGATTCAGAAAAGAACTCAAAGTTGTTTTCTACAGTTTTTCTTTATAACAAAAGATATATTTCTAACTATTTTCTATTTTTACAAAATAATATTTATATGATTTAAATTATAATATCTATAAATAATTTTTTCTATAAAATATTTTTATTCAAAGAATAAAAAATAACATAAAAAATTATATTATGCTCTAATGAACATTTAATTTTATTATGAAAAATATATTACATTTAATTTTTATTAATGAAAAATATATTAACATTTAATTTTATTATGAAAAATATATTATATCCTTTATTTTTAAAGAATTTTACAAAATGAAAATAATTTGATATTATTATAAATAATCAATAATAAGAATTCAAAAATTTATAAACAAAAAGTTTCTAAATTTATTTTAGGGATAATTGCAATTTTGGTATATGAACTTTGCAATTTTTCTATTTTGGTGTATAAACAGAAAAAGTTTACAATTGAGTGTTTGAATTCCCAATAATTTTGCAATTAAATGAAATTTGCCTACGTGGATCGCCGGAATTCACCGTAGGATGGCTGGATCCACTTTTTTATTTTTTTAATTGTTGATTAGGCACCAAATAAGATGCCACGTGGGCTGCCACGTAGATTAAAACTGTAAATGACATATTTACCCCTAAAAGACCCTAAATCTTCTTAGTTACCCATCTCAATGCTTCTCTCTCTCTCTCTCTCGCCAAATAATTTTTATTCATTTCTTTTTCGATATTTAATCTAATATATACAATAACAAAATTTCAAATAATTAATACTTTAAATTTTTTTAATTTTGAAATTAAAACTTTCAAAACTTTTTGAAATTTTTCTTATTTATATCTGTCTACATGTACCTATACTTATCTATATATACCTCAATTCTAGTGATTTTCTTTCAAGAGTAGTTTTCTTCTTCTTTTTTTTTCCTCTTTTATTGCTTTTCAATTCTTTAAGTTTTGATTATTGCTTTTTTTCTTTATTCCTTTATATATATGTATGCTCAGTTAAGAAATACTATTGCCTTCTTTTTCGATTGAGATAATGTTAACTCTTTGATCTCTTTTTTCCTTTTTCTTTTCTTTTTCAAATTTTTTTAACTTTTTTTTTTTTTTTGCAATCTTTTATGGTTTTTTTTTGTGTGTGTATTCGTGACTTTTCTCCTGTTTAATCTTATTTCTTTAATAACATCTTTCTTGTTATATTACCAACAATATGTGTCGTATGTGTATAAATGCAAATATGAGAAATATCATATTGATGGAGAAGAAGATGAAAGAAAAAACTAACTGTAAAATCATTTATGTATTTTTTTTTATTTTTTATTTTTTTAGCAAATTGTATAAAACTGTTCATTGTAAATTTTTTCATTCATTGATTCATATTCATATATGTTTATGTAAATTTATAATTATTTTAATTCATGTATTATTATTATTATAATAATATATATTTTTTGTCGTCCAATTGTTGAGTTAGTATGGTCGTCCAATTGTTGAGTTAGTATAATTGCGTACAATTGAAGTATTTTCATGTGATTTGGTTGAATTTTTGAGTTTTGAAACTAAAACTGAACAATAAATTGGAAAGAATAAATTGGAAAGAAAAATATAAGTATAATCTATATTTATAATTATTATTTTCCCATTAAACATTAAATCTATGTACTATTGAAGTTATATATATATATATAGAGCAAAGTGAATATTTTCATTTTTTTTTTCTTTATAGATTTGATAATTTATAATAATTTATAAAAAATAATAATATAATCAATTATAACAATTATTGAAATAAATATTGAAATACTCGCGCGCGAAGCTCGGTTTTTAACTAGTATAATATATTCTCCGCTAAAGTTATCATTTGTTTCATAATAATATAATAATACAATATATTCTTTATGCATTGTAGTTTTTTCTAGGGCTCTTTGTGAGTTGATTTGGGTCGGTTTGAATATAATAATCAAATCAAACCTAAAGTAGCGGTTTGAAAAAAATTAAATCCTAATTAAATCATAAAAAATTTCAAACCAAACCAAACCTTTGGTGGCAATTTGGCAGTTTGTGCAGTTTGAAATAAGAGAAATTAAACTTCCTTATTCATCTAGTTAATAAGAAAAAAAAAAAAAAAATTAACATTATACTAAACTAGTCGTAATTCTACACTTAGATTAACATTAATTACTAAAAAAGATTAACATTATACTAAACTAGTCGTAATTCTACACTTCATGCGCGGATATTAATAAATTATTTGTATAGGTATTATTATTAAATTATATTGATTTATATTTTTTAAAAAATTCTTTAAAAAGCTCTACAATGTTTTGAAGACATGCACAATAAAATTGGTGTCTAATACTATTAATAAAATTACCATAAGTCTTATTTATGATGGTTAATGCCTCATGAATAAGATGAAATAAGGCATCATTAAATATATTAATCAAGTTTATATAATTTTTCAAAGATATTGTCAAAGATATAATTTTATATATTGATGATAAACTATACTTCCAAAATTAATCCCATAATAAGACTTAACAATCGAAAAAAAAAATTGAATTAGTTAAATTATAGAAAATAACAATAATTACTTGATAATTTAAATAAATATTGACCATGAAAAATCTGAAATGCAAATGAAAGGAGAAAATTTGAAATGCAAAACAATAAGCACGAAATTAAAATTAGATATATATGTTGAAAAAAAAAAAACTCTCTTTTACTGTTGTTTGATAAGTAGTTAATTTAGCATAATATAATCCTTATTTTAATATTATCTATGGATGCTTTTTGGTTTAAAATGATAATTTTCATTTTCTTTTCATATTTTCTGTAGATTATGCTAAATTCATTAGTTTCATTTTCTTTTCATATTTTCTGTAGATTATGCTAAATTCATTAGAAAAGGGATTTTGGAGGCTAATGAAGTTTTGAAGAAATATACCAAGTTGGAGCTGAATTTCAAGAAAGCTCCTGGAAGTTGACAAATTAAGCTTGGGCATGGCTAAGGGAGACGCGTCCAAGGCAGTTCCAAAACTCCTCTGAAAGTTTTCAAATTAAGCTTGGGCAAGGTTAAGAGAGGCGCATCCAGGGCTAAGCGGGATTAAAATGTTTGCCAGCTAGAATTACTTCGGGCTTACTCTAGAAAGTCATTTAACGCAGCCGGACCACTAATTAGAGAATTAGAAAAATACTCAGAATCAAATATTTTATTTTTGTAACTGATTTGAGATTTATTTTCTTGGTTTATGATTTTTCCTTCTCCTATAAATAGAACCTTAAGTCTATTAAGGGGGGAACCTTTTATTCTTTTCGACAATAGTCGTTCTCTTTAGGGTTTATTATTCTCTTTGTTTTCTCTATGCCAAGCATGGCTAGATTTTTATTTTCAGTCAAAGGATTGAATTCGAAGTAGAAGTTCTTCTATGATTGTGAAATCTTTATTTATTTATTTTCTTCTTTTAATTCCATAAATATTTGTCTATTTTTCTGCATATATGAGAAACTCTATGTCTATTGTTATCTTATTGTTTGTTCAATGTGGCTAGTTGTTCAATTTAATAGGATAGCATATAGCTAATCAATAAGATTAAATCCGTAATTGTTTAATTGAATTGATTAAAGCAGCAAATAATATAATTTGATTATAACCAAGCTTTTGAATTATATTATGAAAATTCACAATCTAATTTAAATGAACCTCGCTTGTAGAGTTTGTTAATTAGGGCAGGGTCTTTCTAATAAAATTCACAATCTAATTTAAATGAACCTCGCTTGTAGAGTTTGTTAATTAAGGCAGGGTCTTTCTAATTCTTATTGCTATTAGCAAATTAAATTCTATCACTTGTTTAGGGTTGTTTGCTAGTTAGGGATTATTCATAGTACTTATCTTCTTTAATTTAATAATACGGAAAGATTAATCGGCGACGCTTGTTCAAAGATTATAACTTGTCCATTGCTTGGAATTATTGAGTTGTCTTAGAATCAATGATCAATCAAGATAATTTCTTACTAAGAATTGCCTTTGACTGAATTCATCTCCTATTGATATAAACTTGTTTCTTTTATTACATTCTTACTTATTTTAATTGTTTGAATTGTTCTCTACTACAAATCCCCCATTTTTACTTTTATTGTTTTATTTTCTGGTTATTGAAAGATTTAATCAAAACTAGTCCCTAGGATTTGAACATTCTCACTCTATCTATAAATTACCTAGAATAGGAAGAGCAAGAATTATTTTTGATGGTCTCGACACTCATCATTATTAGATAATACCTCCAGCTGCATCGGATTTAAATTTGTTATAGGTAAGCAAAAACAAAAAAAAAACTTAAGAGTCTGGGTTTTATATGACTTCTATTTACCTTCTATATTTATTTTTCTCAAAATAAAATGGCAAATCAATAAATGGGTAGTTGTTTCTACTCCATGTCCAGTTACATACTACTACAATTGCTAGGGGAAGTAAATATTCGAATTTGTAGGGACCAATCAAAACAAAAGAGATTTGTTTGATGATATGACCTGACAAACTCTTTAGTCGAAGAGACTAAAGCCCATATCATCATCTAACTCCTCTTTCTCCTCCATCTTCTCCTCTTTCTTTGCCTCAGCTGCAACAGCTAGAGCAGAGGCAACACCACCACTGTCACCAATAGCTGCAATGGCTGCAATAGCAACACCACCACCAAAAGGCACTGATGCCAACTTCTCCCATCCAGCAGCAATAAGCTCAGTTATATCCTTATCCTATATTTTTGAAAGAAGAAATCTGACCTAATTGTCATCAACATCAACTCCAACGCAGCTGAAGGTATCTTTGATATGGCCTAACTTTCAATTTCATCCCGAACTTTTTTGAGTAGTTGCAATTTCACTCTAAAATTTTGAGTATTGCATCACTCTAAATCAATCTTGTATCTTGGAATCTTGAAACTTATCAACCTAGTTGCAAGATTCAATCTAATTTGAAAGCTAATAATTTCAGCTCAATATTATTTTTACATTCTATAAAATTGGAATTCAATTTAATAATCAAATACTCATCCTTTGAATTGTTTTTTTTATTATATTGGAATACTTGATATGAATACTTGGGTTTGATTTTATTATTTATTGTTTAAATACTTGGGTATGGAGTCCATTTTTTATATTATTTTAATTAAAATTCCAACTTTAGTTTAGTTTTAGGGTGCAATTGCAATAAGTTGATAAGTTCAGGGTGGTGCAATTCACTTTTAGGATGCAATTGTACCATAAAAGCAAATTAATGTGTAATTATAATTAGGTTGATAAGTTCAGGGTACCCAAGATATAAAGGTCGATTCAGAGTGAAATTGCAATTACTCGAAAAGTTCAAAGTGAAATTAAAAGTTAAACCCTTTGATATCATCAGCGAAAGGGGCAGCGTTGCCTCCTAACACGGCCTAAAATATATAGCGACTACCTTCATCTCGATAGGAGGTGCTCTTAATTTGCAGCGGTTAGAAGAGAAGTATAAAGTGAATCGCAAATTTTGAAATGCGGGATGATTACATAATGAAAATAGAAGGCTAAACACGAAAGAAGCAACATAATACAAAATAAAAATAATCGAAAATGATAAAAAAGGTTGAATATAGGGAGAGAATTAAAAGCAAAATAATCAAAAGAAGCAATAAAAAATAATATAAATCATTGTGAAAGAAGAAGTAGTAGAGATAAAAATAATAATAAATAGATGAGAATTGTGATTGAATGGAAGGATAATATATAGCGGAATAGTTTAGATAAATAAAATTAAATTTCAAAATTGTTGGTTATTATCAAAATATTAATTTTTTAAATTTTATTAGTTCGATTATGTTTCAAAAACTCATCAATATCCATACTAAATATTAAACTGAAAATTATTTAAATTGTCCAATCACAACACTTAAAGAAAGTTTTTAAAAATTTTTTTAAGAAAAGAAAAATCAAATGATGAACAAAGAGAACATATTAAACTCTCTTTGTTTCAGCTATATATATATATATATATATGAAAGAAAAAAAATTAATATTATACTAAATTTATATAAGAAAATAAAATTAATATTATACAATATAAAAATGAATTATATCAAAATTATGCCATAAAATACACAGTGATTGTTAAATTAAGACTTAAAAGGTTTAAATAAGTTTTTTTGTCCCTCAAAAAAATGAAAATCATATGTATATTCTTCAGTATAGTATAAAAAATATTATATATTTAATAAGATAATAATTAGGCAAATATGTATATTCTTAGTATAGTATAAAAAAAATATTATATATTTAATAAGATAATAATTAAGCAAATTAGAAATATAGAATTCAAATTTTGATTTAATTACATCTATTACAAGAAATTATAAAAACAGTATAGTTTTACACGCAAATAGTTTGTACATATATTTTTTTTATTAGCAAAGAGAATTAATTAATTAATTAATTAACCAGGAAAAAGTTAACAAACTCTAGCACTACACCCAAGTCAATAGATTCCCTAAACATCCAAACCTAGCCAGAGAATCTTAGGTAAAAAAACCTGATATGCAGTACATCCAAAATAAAAAAACAAAACAATAACAACCTTGTTCTTAAGATAAGAACAGATTTATTGAACAACAAAAAACCAAAATTGACCGACTGTTACAAACCACAAGATAATGCCAAAGTAAAACAAACAATAAGGAAAATGACAACAACAAACCATGACCCAAGACAATTTATTAATACTACTTCTAGCTTTCTTTCCTTGCTCCAAAGATGCCAAAATAGCTCAAGTTATAGAAGCTAACACAAGTGAGGAATTCAGACCTTAATAAAACTAACTCCAACCTAAAACTGATGGAAAATCAATTCCCTTCATAGCTAACATATTTGCAAAAGAATTGGTAGATCTTAGAATATGAATAAAATGAACACAAAATAAGGAAGAACTGATACGGATCCGCCACCACTCATCAATAGAAGCATGGAGAACAACATAGGAGATTCATTGGTGCTTCCTAGTGGGACAACTACACGGCGCCGTGCCAAGCGCTGTGGGGCAGCTATATCCTCATATGTTCAAAAATAAGTTTCACAAGAGCTTCATGACCAAGTGTTTAACAAGTGTTGTGTGGAACTTGAAGGCACAACTAGGCTTCTCGTATTGTTGGAAGCAACTGTTGAAGGAGAAGCACGCCCGTGCTGAGTAGCACACCTAGGCTGTGCTAGAGTCTGACCCTTGGAGGCTTGTGAAGTGTGGAGAAGCATGCTCGTGCTGTGTAATATGTCCTGGCCATGCTAGGGCCTGAGTTGGACGTGTTTTATCCTTAAAAATGCCTTATTTGGTTTAGCCTTTTGTTGTCTTTGTATGGGCTTTTGTTAATGGGTCTTTTGTATTAGGTTAGCCCAATTATGTTAGTTTCTAGTATAAACACTATTGTCTTCTTTGTAAAGAAACTAACTTTTGATCAAATTGAACTACATAAAATTGTTCATGCTTTGCATATCCTTTTGCTTAAAGTGATTGTGAGAAATTGCTTTCCTCTAATTGCATCAAGAATTAAGATAGACTTATCAACTTGTTGTAACATTTATCTTGTTCTTATTCTTGATTACTGGTGTTTCTGTTTCCTTATAAATGAGGGGCGCCAGAGAGGGGAATTTATCTTCATCTTTAATCTGATCCACTCGATTAGGGGTTCTAGGAATTCATTTCCTTTGGGTTCCGCATCATTTGGTATCAGAGCCAAATCAAAGATTGAGGTAAGTTCTGTTATCTTAGTATTAGGGTTGAGTTTTTCTGTTCTTTGAATTTCATTGATGTTTGCTCATCTTTTTGATTAAATTCTAAATCTGAGCCTTCATCCTTGAATTCTCTTGTTTGCCTAAATAAAAAAAAAAGAATATGGAAAATTTAAGACCTTAGGACTGCCTAATTGAAAAAAAAAAAAAAGAGAAAGACCTTAGGTTTGCCTAATTTTAAAAAAAAATTGATTGTTTCAATTATTGAGGATTAAAAAAAACTATTAATCTCCTTTGTGGGACTATTTTGGACTCAATCTTTCCATTTGTCCCTTGTTAAAGACTATACCTACCTAAAGTGGGTTATAATTGTGGGTTAAGGGAGGATAAAGGACAAAATGCCTGTGCTTCACAACTAGCATGCCCGTGCTAGGTTCTGACTTTCATTTTCGGACCAAACCATAGAAGCACGCCTGTGCTTCTATCTAGCATGCCTATGCCAGGCTCTAACCTTTTTTAAAAAAAAATTTAGGTTTTCTTTGTTTGCTTGCTTTGTTTGGGTAGAATTACATAGGTCCACATTTAGTTTGCTTTGTGGTGAACTAAATTCATCTATTATATCCAAAACTCATTTTTTTTTATTCATTCTAGTTTCTTATTCTTGTTTTGTGCTTCCTTTGCTTCTTTTATATTGTTAGGGTGTAATTGCTTGTTTACTACACTTTAATTGATAATAAAGTAGTACATTGTTTATGTTCTTGTGCTACCATCCATCTTCATCTTGAGTCTTACTTTTTAGAATTTGTGCTTACTTTTCTTTATTAAGGTTTAATTCCTTGTGTCTAAACGTTCTTTGAGTTGGTTGGTTGGCCTGGAAATTCTGAAGTACAATTAGAGGAATTGCAAGGAGTGGTAAGGAGTATAAACACATGAGGGGGAGCTTTACCTCAACCATATTTCTTTTGTTAATTCTGCTTTGAGTACTAATCATGAGTGCAGGCAAGTCTGGAGAAACTAGTGGCGACGGAAATCAAATTAAAGACCCCCAACTGAAGCTCTTTATGGAGTCAATTCAAGGGCAGTTTCGAAACTACAATAGTTTCTGCCAAGATATGAGAGAGGAGATTAAAGTCGCCCAAAGCTCCAATACAAATAAAGCTCATCTGCGTACTACTCTACTAACTAGATTTCAAACTCTTGAAGATGAGGAGGTCGATAATCCTGAAGTTGGCACAGTTGATGGCGACTTGGGATCAATCAAAATGAAGATTCCAGAGTTTTACGATAAAAACAATGCTGAAGAGTACCTTGAATGGGAAAGAAAGGTTGAGCAAATTTTCGAGTTCCATAATTATTCTGAAGAGAAGAAGTTTCACCTTGCAGTTGTTGAGTTTAAAGGATATGCTATGTTATGGTGGGAGCAACTGATGTTAAAGAGAAGAAAGAAGGGAATGAGACCTGTGCCACAATGAGAGGTAATGAAGGAGTTGATGCACCAAAAATTCGTCCCAGCACATTACTTTAGGGACTTGCACAACAAATTGGCAAGATTGGTGCAAAGAGGGAGAAGTGTGGAGGTATACTATAAGGAAATGGAAATGTGCATAGCTAGAGCCAAGATTGAGGAGGCTGAAGAAATTACCATGTCCAGGTTCCTTGGAAGTTTGAACAGTGAGATTGCCGATGCTTTGGAGATGTATCACTATGATGCACTAGAAGAGATGGTAGATATGGCCATAAAGTTAGACAGGCAGAAAAAGGGGAAGTTCACCAACAAGTATTCCAACAATACTTGGGGATCTAAATGGTCCAAAGGAGGTGAAAGAAGAGATTTCAAAGGTAATAATTCTGAAAGGGCAGAACCAGCTTCAAGAGGTAAAGAGGTTGCCTAATCTTCATTCAAGGGTAACAAAGGTACTTCTAACCCTATAATCTCTTCTAGAGAGATTAAATGCCATTCAAGGGTAACAAAGGTACTTCTAACCCTATAATCTCTTCTAGAGAGATTAAATGCTTTAAATGTTTGGGGAAAGGGCATATTGCATCTCAATGTCCTAATAAAAGGGTTATGATTGTTAAGGATGATGGGAATATTAGTTCTGAATCTGAATTTAGTGATTATGAAGATATGCCACATTTGCATGATGATAATGATATTTTGGATGTGGATGAACATAATTTGTTGTTTGCTGAACATGGAGAATCTCTAGTTGTTAGACGTGCCTTGAATATGCAAGTTAAGGAAGAGAGTACTGAGCCGCGAGAGAACATATTTCACACTAGATGTTTGATTGGCGGAAAAGTGTGCATCCTTATTATTGATGGGGGTAGTTGCACTAATGTAGCTAGTGCAAGTATGGTGAATAAGCTGAATCTGGCATATAGTAAACACCCTAAGCCTTACAAGTTGTAATGGTTGAATGATTGTGGAGAGGTGAAGGTGACACGACAGGTACTTGTGCCATTCTCTATTGGGTGGTACAAAGATGAGATTTTGTGTGATGTGGTACTGATGCAGGCAGGCCATTTGTTGTTGGGAAGGCCATGGCAATATGATAGAAGGGTACTACTTGATGGGTTCTACAACTGGTACTCTTTGGTTCACGGGGGTAAAAGGTGGTTCTTGCTCCGTTGTCACCTCAAGAAGTGTATGCAGATTAGAAGAAGATACTTAAGAGAGAAAGAGAGGCTTCAACTTTGAGGGAAAATGAGAGTGAGGCTTCGAGCTCGAGAGAACAAACGAGTGAAAAGAGTGAGGTTGGAAAAAAAAGAGGTCGCAAAAGATACCAAACAAATTAATGGCCCAATGGTGAGTGAAACACCGAGAGGGGAGAGAAAAAAACACACTTTTTATGCGAGAGCTAGAGAGGTTAAGTGTGCTATCGCCTTGAGGCAACCCGTGTTGCTTTTTAGGTTTAGGGAGATTTTGTTTTCTAACACTGACACTAACCTTGATGGTTTACCTTTTGTGTTTATTTCTAGGTTACAGGAGTTCCTTGATGTCTTTCCAGAAGAGTTGCCTAGCAGATTGCCACCTTTGTTAGGGATAGAACATCAGATTGACTTTATCCGTAGCTCCACCATTCCAAATCGACCAGTTTATAGAAGCAATCCAATGGACACAAAGGAGTTGTAAAGGCAAGTTGATGAGCTTATGGAGAAAGGATTGTTGCGAGAGAGCATGAGCCCTTGTGCCGTTCCAGTACTTTTAGTACCCAAGAAGGATGGTATATGGCGAATGTGCATTGACTGCAGGTTAGTCAACAAAATTACGGTAAAGTATAGACACCCTATCCCTAGACTTGATGACATATTAGATGAGTTGTGTGGGTCGACTTACTTTATTAAAATTGACTTAATGAGTGGTTATCATCAGATTAGAATGCAACCAGGTGATGAATGGAAAACCGCTTTTAAAACTAAGTATGGTTTGTATGAATGGTTTTTAAAACTAAGTATGGTTTGTATGAATGGTTAGTAATGCCTTTTGGATTATCTAATGCACCTAGTACATTTATGAGGCTTATGAACCATGTATTGCGAACTTTCTTGGGAAAATCTGTGGTTGTGTATTTTTATGATATACTTGTTTATAGCAAGTCTGTTAATGAACATGTTGAGCATGTTAGGCCAGTATTACAAGCTTTAAGTTCTGACCAATTGTATGCTAAGCTTAAAAAGTGCACATTTTATATAGATAGACTTGTGTTTCTTGGATTTGTTATGAGTACGCAGGGTATTGAGGTAGATGAGGAGAAAGTGAAAGCTATTAAGGAATGGCCAACTCCTAAATCAGTTTCGGATGTGCGAAGTTTCCATGGGTTGGCGAGTTTTTATAGACGGTTTGTTCAAGATTTCTCTTTGATTACCACATCACTCACGGAGGTAATCAAAAAAGAAGTTGGGTTTAAGTGGGGAGAGGAACAACAGAAAGTGTTCAACGCGCTCAAAGGGAAGTTGACATCATCTCCTATACTTTCTTTACCTAATTTTAAGAACACTTTTGAAATTGAGTGTGATGCTTCTTGTGTAGGAATTGGAGCAGTGCTGATGCAAGAGAAGAAGCCAATTGCCTACTTTAGTAAGAAGTTGAATGGGGCTCAACTCAATTACTCAACCTATGATAAGGCTATGATAAGGAGCTGTATGCCTTGGTGAGAACGCTGAACGTATGGCAACACTACTTACTGCTTAAGGAGTTTGTCATCCACACTGATCACGAGGCCTTAAAGCACTTGAAGGGTCAATGTAAGCTCAACAAAAGGCATGGTAAGTTGATTAAGTGTATTGAACAATTCCCTTATGTAATTAAATACAAGCATGGTAAAGATAATGTTGTTGCTGATGCATTGTCAAGGAGATATGTACTCGTTACTGCTCTTAGTTCTAAGTTGCTTGGATTTGAGTATGTTAAGGACTTGTAAGTGACTGATTCTGACTTTGGCAATGTGAATATGGCATAGAGCATGGAGCGTTTTTTTTTTTCATTTTTTTTTATTTTTTTTAACATTTACTTTTATTATTTTTCTTTTTTATTCTTTTTTTTTTAAATTTT